ACACCACTGCAGCGCCTTATAGCCTTAACATTGATGAGTTTGGATAAGAATTGCGCATTTTAGATGGAAACCTGCAGATTTACACGTTCCGGACATGTTCTTTCAAAGCACGAACTCACATAATCAACTAATCAGCTTATTTGAATGATAGGGTCATGCCGTTGTTGAACTGTGAAGTTGAAATAAATTCATAACGGTTGTGTATCATTGGTCAGATGAAATTCATTTGCATATTTTCATCCGATTTACATTTTAGTTTGAGGAGGTCACTTTCGGCTGTAGTTCATTTGTCAGTTTGCCTTTCAAAGACGATAATCGTGTCATTTGTGTTCAGGTCCACACCGGCGGTAAGTCAGGTGATGAGGGCTTAGCGGAGGGCGCTTCACAAGCAAAAACCACCACAAAAACAGTTCGAAAACGTGTTACCACCTCGGTCTCCGCGGTGTTTGCCTCTCGACACACGAAAGTGGACGGCAAAAGGTAAATCCTCTCGAATGTCCCACCTCTACAAACCAACTTGTCAGCCTATCAAAGAGTCTTGGGGCTTGCATTCGAGAATTTAAAAATCCCTACCTCGATGCACAAAGTAGATGACAAGCAGGGAAAAAGCGTTTTCTTCCCGCACTTTATTTAGAAGTTTTTTTTTGTTCGTTTTTAGCGCTTCACGTACGTCATTTGACATTTTCCCTTGGAATGTGCATGCATAAATTTAACGTCTTTCTTTGTTTCTTTCTTGCATCATAACTTTGAAACGAAAAATAAAATCCTTTTTAAATCGTCCTAAAGGCACCGGAATAGTTCCATTTCAAGGCGATTCAAGTGAAAAGTTTACTCGAGGTCATCTAGAGGACAGTAGTTTTGAGTAAGTTGTCCGTCTTATCGCGCAATGATAAAGGCTTATTTGCATGGAAATGCCTCCCTTCTTGACTGTCAGAAAGGTTGATTCGAAGGCTCAAAGTTGCCACTCCTATTGCCTAAACTATTCCCCACCTTTTAGTCTATCCAACGAAGACTCTGCCGCAATGACCGCACTACGAGTGAGTAGTCTTTTCAACCTTGCCATTCTGTTAAAACTTTGAGGCTATGTTTTTGGTGCTGGCTTGACCTAAGCCCAATTTTCACCAACTCAAACGTGACAACTAGGCTGGTGGGATTTTGCCTGCACCATCTCTCTGCACGTGACGAGCCTGAGGGATAAGCCTGCGCCAAGCCTGAACAAGGCATAAACGGATTTAACGACACCGTCAATCCTCGTAGTTATAAACGATGTATTTCCATTCCTCATGGCCACTCTTCAGCCAACTTTTATTTTTTTTTTCGCACTTCATACTATCGGTTTCAGAAGTGGGTTAAACTGTGAAGGTCCTCCCAGTAATGGATTTTAAATTTACAGGGGATATACAAAATTTTGTCTCATTGATGGTGGTCAGGGCGGTAAGAAAAGTGGAATTGTTACAGTTTTGTCCACTTTTGTACACAAACGATGGAGAAATGTGGAGCTCGTGACACCTCTAGCCATGTAATTGCCTTCCCTCAGTTGCATTTTTGATGAACTGAAGCATTCAGAACGGCTCAAAACCTCCTTGGCAGTTAGCTTTCCCTTAGAATCCTCTTAGCAAATTCACTTCTCAACTGCCAGTTTGGCGTTCACATTGAGATGTATGAATAGTTGGCAGACAGGTTTGATGCATTTTGACACGAACCAGCTGTCAAACAACTATGGATGCTCCGCCTCCCCAAGGGAATGTCATGATAAAATGTACATTTGGCTTCAACCCTATAACTTTTTTTGTGAACTCGAAATAGCCGTTATTTGGTAGCGCTTGAAAACCACCAATTCCACCTTGGACAGATTGCAAGTAGGCACGTGATTCCTGCATGAGGACACCATCGAAATCTCCAGCACATACCTCTGGGATTTTATGAATAGAAGTAAAACGTTCCCATACTTGGCTCTGTAAAAATATTCTTACTTGGCAGCTATTTGGTTGTCATAAATTGTCAGATTAAGTGTGCATACCTTTAGGTTCCATTCTAGAACAACTAATATTGGCTTCTCCTATGTTCTCGGACCAGTCACTTTCCACTGTGGAATAATCCTCGAATGTAATATTTTTGATCCAAACAGTTTCCGCCTTCCACTTTCACATAACACCTTCGAAATTTCCTTTTCCAACATCCACTATCCCACGTCAATCCGGGGAGGAGACGAATTAGGCGTCCAAACCTCATAAATTACCCTAATTTTCTCAGTCAACACTACGTGGATATGACGGGGCACCCCAATCATTCGTTGTAGGAGTGCGAGCGTCAATTCGCGACTCGACTTGGCATCACCAAAACCCCTCCCACCGACGCCTCCACAACAGTCGTCGATCAGTACACCTCCGAGAACGGTAAAACCACAACAACGACAACCACTACTCTGAAGGGCACGGGATTCCCCTCTTTATTTGATGGGTTGCCACTGTACCAGGGCTACGGTATGATCGGTCAGCACGTAAGTCGTCTATTTATCGTTTCTTAATCTGTGGGTGGTAAACATGATGTTTGTGATTCACTTGATGACTTTGCACTGTGTAAACTCGCTTATATTGCACATACTGACCTAAAGATGGGTGACGACTTCTCCTCACTATCACCTTTGCCATGTCAACTGCAGAGGTGGAAGCATTTATTCATGCACTTCCCATTCCTAAACTGCATCTACTTACCCATCACCAGCATAAAAGCAAAACTCGGTATTACAACCCCAGTGGAAGTTCCCATTGCTGTCTCTCTCTCTCTCTCTCTCTCTCTCTTTTCTTCTAATGCCATTTTTTTTTCCGAGGGGATGAAACAATAATCTTGTCTGCACAGCTATCCGTGTGTCGGGATGTTATGACGCATTAATATCATAGCTTGCTTCTCCTTCATCCTCCTCTTCCTCCTCCCCTTCTTCTACTGGAGATGAATTAATCTGTTCGACTAGCGCGGCACGGTTTTGTGTCAAGAAGAGAGTAGAAGTGCTTTTGCCTTTCCCAGGTGTTACCACCCCAAATTAGACTGCGGTGCTGGAGTGGATGAATTAGGTTCATCCTCCAAGATGCTGAATGATGAGCAAGGCGAAGCAAAGCAAAGCACAATTTGCCACCCCTAAGTCTGTCACCTTTATAATGGCTGAGAAGTCACGAGGTGTTTGAACTACAATTTGACTGAGGGCTATAAAATAAGTGGCTTTTCTTACTTCGCCAGCGAATTGAGTGACTTTAACCCCAAGAAAAATAATGAACCACATCGCAAACAAAAGTCCATCTCGCACATCTCGATGGGATTGGTGTGAAGCTAGTGCGTGTCGCTCGGGCTCTCATGCAAATGTAATAACATGAGTTAGGATTAAAGTACCTTTTTGCGCACTTGGATTGGTACACTTTCAGTCTAGCGATGCATGTTGCTAGGTGGCGAGTACTTACCGCTGCTCTGTTTAGTGTGATCAACAAAGTGTTGGGCTTAGCCATAGGCAATTGTCATGCCCGACACTACCCTTTTCACGGCGTTTTAGGATTGCCAGCAGGCTTTCAAAGTTGCCTCAATTTGCAACGCTGCATTTTCCTTTTTGACCTGACTGCATAAGACAGGGCTGATTGAGCTTATTTGATGCAATAAGTTAGCTTTCGAGGAAATTTGGTCCCTTGGCATAAGGTGAATGCTACGGGGACGGGGAGTTATGAAACGTGAAGGCAGCACTCTAGAGCTTTGACCTTATTGTCAAAGGCCAACAGTAGAAGGATCTAAAATGTGGATATTTTATTGCTGTCATTTTGACTACCCTAAGCCTCTTGCAGGCTAAAGCCAATGATCTCTCGGAATCACCAGTCTCCATCTTCTTCAACGGTTCCCTTGATCAGCTTGATGTGGCCTCTCTCACAAAGATGTTTGAAGAGGCGACAAAAGCTACCCTTCTCTCCAATGACCTCAACAATTTCTTTGGTGATCTCACAATCTCTCAGAGACCCGCGATTGACAGTGAGTCTACTGCCTATCACCTCTGGCTCAAGTGCCAACCTCAACGTTCACATGTAGCCAGGCCTAAGGCGAGAAAGCAGAAGATTCACGAGAATAACTTTGTGTCAGTTTGTGCGCCTTGTGAAGGCGTTTTAATATCAAAAGGGTAATCTGTATTTTAAGCAATCAAACTGGTTCACCTGCAGGCGAGATTCGCGAAAAAAAA